TTCTGACCCCCTTAGTTCAATTTTGGGGTCACAAAAAGTTTTCTAAATGCCATCTAGTGGTTGTTTTAGACATTTACATGAATCTGCTGTGCAATGTTTAGAGCGGAATGATGATGATAATAATAATAATAATAATAATAATAATAATAATAATAATAATAATAGGGTTGTTGTAGGTTTTTCGGGCTATATGGCCATGTTCTAGAGGCATTTTCTCCTGACGTTTGGCCTGCATCTATGGCAAGCATCCTCAGAGGTAGTGAGGTCTGTTGGAACTAGGAAAAATGGGTTTATATATCTGTGGAATGACCAGGGTGAGACAAAGGACTCTTGTCTGCTGGAGTTAGGTGTGAATGTTTCAACTGACCACCTTAATTAGCATTTGATGGCTTGGCAGTGCCTGGGGGAATCTTTTGTTGAGAGGTGATTAGATGTGCCTGATTGTTTACTCTCTGTTGTTTTGCTGTTGTAATTTGAGTTTTTTAATACTGGTAGCCAGATTTTGTTCATTTTCATGGTTTCCTCCTTTCTGTTGAAATTGTCCACATGCTTGTGGATTTCAATGGCTTCTCAGTGTAGTCTGACATGGTGGTTGTGAGAGTGGTCCCGGAAAAACCTACAACAACCCAGTGATTCCAGCCATGAAAGCCTTCGACAATACATAATAATAATTCATTTATACCCCGCCACCATCTCCCCAAGAGAACTCGGGGCGGCTTACATGAGGCCAAGCCCAACAGTACAACAGAGCAAATATACAACATAAAATACAAACGGTAAAATATAATGAAAATAAAAAAATAAATACAGAAAGAAATACAAATGAACACACCAAACAATATTGTCTTTACTAATAATATAATATAGTATATTGTATATACATATCATATTTATAATATTATAATGTAATACAATATAATACTAGTAATAATAATACAATATTATAATTATAATTATATATTTACATTACATATAATATTACTAATAATATTACAATATAATGGTATAGTGCAATGTAGTAATATATAATACTGATATTGTACTATGCTAATAATATAATATATTGTATGAAAATATATATTGTAAGTCGTTCTGAGTCCCCTTTGGGGTGAGAAGGGTGGCATATAAAAGCCGTAAATAAATAAATAATAAATATATAGATCACAGTAATTGAATCACAAAAAAATCACAATAGGCAGTGGAGCTGGGCAAGTTGCAAAGATTAAAAGTTTAAAACACTGGGTGAGCAGGCCGCGTAATGTATCTAGACAGAGGATCAGAGGGACGAAAATGAGGTTTAATTGCACTAGAAGATGGGATAAAGTGCTTCCGGGGGCATTTTATGCAAGGTTTGGTCAAGGTCAAAGATTATTGTTCATTCATCAAAGGCACACTGGAATAGCCAAGTTTTCAGACTCTTCCTAAAGACTGCCAGGGTGGGGGCTTGCCTAATTTCTCTGGGGAGTGAGTTCCAGAGCCGAGGGGTCACCACAGAGAAGGACTTAGATGAAGGGCTAGAAGGCATGATCATCAAGTTTGCAGACGACACTAAATTGGGAGGGAGAGCCAATACTCCAGAGGACAGGAGCAGGATTCAAAACGATCTTGACAGATTAGAGAAATGGGCCAAAACTAACAAAATGAAGTTCAACAGTGACAAATGCAAGATACTCCACTTTGGCAGGAAAAACGAAATGCAAAGATACAGAATGGGGGAATCCTGGCTCGAGAGCAGTATGTGTGAAAAAGATCTTGGAGTCCTCGTGGACAACAAGTTAAACATGAGCCAACAATGTGATGTGGTGGCAAAAAAAGCCAATGGGATTTTGGCCTGCATCAATAGGAGCATAGTGTCTAGATCTAGGGAAGTAATGCTTCCCCTCTATTCTGCTTTGGTTAGACCACACCTGGAATATTGTGTCCAATTCTGGGCACCACAATTCAAGAGAGATATTGACAAGCTGGAATGTGTCCAGAGGAGGGCGACTAAAATGATCAAGGGTCTGGAGAACAAGCCCTATGAGGAGCGGCTTAATGAGCTGGGCATGTTTAGCCTGAAGAAGAGAAGGCTGAGAAGAGATATGATAGCCATGTATAAATATGTGAGAGGAAGCCACAGGGAGGAGGGAGCAAGCTTGTTTTCTGCTTCCTGGAGACTAGGACGCGGAACAATGGCTTCAAACTACAAGAGAGGAGATTCCATCTGAACATGAGGAAGAACTTCCTGACTGTGAGAGCGTTCAGCAGTGGAACTCTCTGCCCCGGAGTGTGGTGGGGGCTCCTTCTTTAGGAGCTTTTAAACAGAGGCTGGATGGCCATCTGTCAGGGGTGATTTGAATGCAATATTCCTGCTTCTTGGCAGGGGGTTGGACTGGATGGCCCGTGAGGCCTCTTCCAACTCTTTGATTCTATGATTCTATGATCCCCAGAAGATCGAAGGGATCGTGTGGGCTCGTAAAAGGAAATGAGGTCACGAAGGTCAGCAGGTCCCAAGCCATTCAGGGCTTTGTAGGTAAGAACCTGCACCTTGAATTGGGACCGGAAAATAAACAGCAGCCAATGGAACTCCTTAAACGAGATGCTTCAGCTGTACTTCATAAAAGGACAAATCAGCCTATTTAGCAAGCCTTCAGATGCTCACGTGTTACCAGTAAATGTTTGATTTTAAATACCTGTATACCCAGGGTTGCGTAAAATGTTCTTGGGGAGGAAAGTGTTGGAAGTGGAAAAGTTTAAGACGTCCTGTTCTAAACCCGCCCAGGGTAGATGTGTTATTTGCCACTCCAGATCAGTCCAAGGATAAGTGGTCTGTACAGAGCCACCCTGAGTCTTTGATACCATATTGTGAAATATCTGTGCTTATTAGGAGTATTCATACAATACTTATATTTTTATCTACATAAATAAAAATGTAATGTTCGTTTGTGGTATTCACAGAACTCAAAAACCCATGGATGAATTGGACATGATACACCTAACAACCCAATGTATGTCCTTCATTCAAAATGTTTTGATTTTGTCATTTGGGAGTTTTAGTTGCTGGGATTTATAGTTCACCTACAATCAAAGAGCATTCTGAACTCCACCAATTATGGAATTGAACCAAACATTGCATACAGGACTCCCATGACCAACAGAAAACACTAGAAGGGTTTGGTGGGCATTGACCTTGAGTTTGGGAGTTGTAGTTCACCTACATCCAGAGAGCACTGTGGACTCAAACAATGATGGATCTGGACCAAACTTGACACACATATTCCATATGTCCAAATATGAACACAGATGGAGTTTGGGAAAATAGACCTTGACATTTGGGAGTTGTAGTTAACTGGGATTTATAGTTTACCTACAATCAAAGAGCATTCTGAATCCCACAAATGACAGAATTGGGGCAAATTTCCCACACAAAACCCCCATGACCAACAGAAAATACTTAAGGCCATCCAGTCCAACTTCCTTCACCAGGGCAAGAAAACGTAATCAAAGTCCTCCTGACAAAGAGCCATCCAGTCAAAAATATAGATAGATAGATAGATAGATAGATAGATAGATAGATAGATAGATAGATAGATAGATATAGATAGATAGATATGATTCACACACAGAGATATAGTATCATAGATTTGAAAGGGACCCCTGAAGAAGGACAATTATATGTTGCATGTTCCAGAGTAGGCAAACCAGACAATCTCCACATCAACACTGACAAAGAAACAGCAAGAAATACTGTTTACCCACAAGCATAAATAAATTACATATATTAGAAACCAACACTTTCTCATTACTTTATTTTCCAGATCACCAGACTGGGCCACAGCAACGCCTGGCAGGGGACGGCTAGTATATATATATATATATATATATATATATATATATATATACACACACAATACAATATACAATAATATATACATCATAATAATTACAGTCTATTATTTACTTTTTATATAATAAACTAGGCTATATATAATAATATATATAATATTATATGTATATAATAGTATATATATATATACATACACACAATACAATATACAATAATGTATACAACATAATAATTACAGTTTATTATTTACTTTTTATATAATAAACTCCTCTGTTGCGCCAGCTCCACTGGCTGCCAATTTGCTACCGGGCACAATTCAAAGTGCTGGCTTTAGCCTTTAAAGCCCTAAACGGTTCTGGCCCGACCTATCTGTCCGAACGCATCTCCTCCTATGAACCAGTTAGGACGTTAAGATCGTCTGGGGAGGCCCTGCTCTCGGTCCCGCCGGCTTCACAAGCACGCCTGGCGGGGACGAGAGACAGGGCCTTCTCAGTAGTGGCCCCTCGGCTGTGGAACGCCCTTCCTACAGACATTAGATTGGCCCCCTCCTTATTGGCATTCAGGAAGAGAGTGAAGACCTGGCTCTTCGAACAGGCTTTCAACTAAGCAGTGCAATTGATTGATTACTGGAATATGGATTAATGGACAACGAGATCGGATGCTGATTCTATTGATGAGACGTGATGGATTGTTGTTTTCCTGTATTGTTGTATTGATGTTCTGATGTTAATTAAGTGATATTACTGTTTTAAATGATTAATGATTTTGTACTGTGTTGTTGATACTGGTTGTTAACTGCTCTGAGTCGCCTGATGGCTGAGAAGAACGAAGAACGGTATACAAGTGAAGTATATATATATATATATATATATATATATATATATATATAAGACTGGGTTCCTCTTTCCAACTACTTCCATACCCGTCTGGGCTCTAAAATGTCGATTAAATGGGGAATGTGTGTAGATACTTAAACACAGATCTCCCCATTGCTTGTATGAAACTCTGATTGGCGTTCCCCAGATATGTTGCCATCATCCCCAGCTAGCCTTGGTAGTTGGAGTGAAAAGGATACTGTATTTTTCAAGTTTGTTCCCTAAGATGCTACTACAATGCTGTTTGAAATGTGATATTTCTTGTTTTCTTGCTTTGCTGCCAGAAGGTGTCTCTGTGGCATGCTGCTCAAGTGGAAATTCCGACCTCTAGCTGAAGGTGATGAAATGCCAAGCCAGACAAAATTATAGATGATCATATTTCTACTACCAGTTTGTTAGGAATCTTTGACAGTACTTTTCCCATAGGCTTTCACATATAAAGGAAGGAGTTAAAGCAGTCTTATAACTGGAACTCAGCCAGAATGGATCCCAAAAGTAAGTGTGAGATCAGCCCGGAATCAGAACCCCCGGTAAGTTGTTTTGCTTTGCTCTTTAGCCATTTGAGTGAAAACTATATTTCATAATATCGCAAAATCATTGAAGAGACCATCTAGTCCAGTGATTCCCAACCTTTTTTTTGATCAGAGACCACTTTGACCAGAGATTACTTTGACCAGAGACCACTTTGACCAGGGACCACTCTCCAACATTAGTACCAAAAGGCCTACGAATCGGTTTTGGGTCAACTTTAGATTTGGTTTGGTTATTTAGGGTGCTTATTCAGAAAATTGCACTGGATAGACCACATCAGCTCTAGTTTCTGAAACAGAACATATGCCTTGTCGAAGGCTTTCATGGCTGGAATCACTGGGTTGTTGTAGTTTTTTCGGGCTATATGGCCATGGTCTAGACCAGTGGTTCTCAACCTGGGGGTTGGGACCCCTGGGGGGGTCACAAGGGGGGTGCCAGAGGGGTCACCAAAGAGCATCAGAAAACACAGTATTTTCTGTTGGTCATGAGGGTTCTGTGTGGGAAGTTTGGCCAAATTCTATCATTGGTGGGATTCAGAATGCTCTTTGGTTGTAGGTGAACTATAAAATCTAAGAACCACAACTCCAAATGTCAAGGTCTATTTTCCCAAAACTCCACCAGTGTTTGCTTTTGGGTATATTGAGTATCTGTGCCAAATTTGGCCCAGATCCATCATTGTTTGAGTCCACAGTGCTCTCTGGATGTAGGTGAACTACAACTCCAAAACTCAAGGTCAATGCCCACCAAACCCTTCCTCTGGATGGGTTTTCTGTTGGTCATGGGAGTTCTGTGTGCCAAGTTTGGTTCAATTCCATCGTTGGTGGAATTCAGAATGCTCTTTAATTGCAGGTGAACTATAAATCCTAGCACGTACAACTCCCAAATGACAAAATCAACCCCCCAATACAAATTTGTGTATTGGATATTTGTGCTCAGTTTGGTCCAGTGAATGAAAATACCATCTCAGATATTTACATGACAATTCATAACAGGAGCAAAACGACATTTATGAAGTAGCAACAAAAATAATCTTATGGTTGGGGGCAGAGGCGGCCCTAGGTAATTTTCAAGGGTAAGCAAACAGTATTTTGCCCCCACCCCCCCACCCCCAAACCAACCACTGATATATATTTTCTGTTCGTCGTGGGAGTTCTGTGTGCCATATTTGGTTCAATTCCATCATTGGTGGAGTTCAGAATGCTCTTTGATTATAGGTGAACTATACATCCCAGTAACTACAACTCACATATGTCAAGGTCTATTTCCCCCCAAGAGGGCCTCAAGAGCGCCTCTGGGCAAAATCAACTATACTGCAAACGCTTACTTTGCGTAATGGTTGAGCCACCCCTGGTTGGGGGTCACCACAACAGGAGGAACTCGATTAAGGGGTCACGGCATTAGGAAGGTTGAGAAGCACTGGTCTAGACCATGGGTCCTCAAACTAAGGCCCGGGGGCCAGATACGGCCCTCCAAGGTCATTTACCCGGCCCTCACTCAGGGTCAACCTCAGTCTGAAACAACTTGAAAGCTCACAGTAACAACAACAACAATCCAATCCTATCAGTCAAATCAGGCCCACATTTCCCATTGAAATACTAATAAGTTTATATTTGTTAAATTTGATCTTCATTTTAATTATTGTATTGTTTTCAAGTGTTTTTGCACTATAAATAAGATATGTGCAGTGCGCATAGGAATTCATTCGTATTTTTTTCAAATTATAATCCGGCCCTCCAACAGTTTGAGGGACTGTGACCTGGCCCTCTGTTTAAAAAGTTTGAGGATTCCTGGTCTAGAGGCATTCTCTCATGACGTTTCGCCTGCATCTATGGCAAGCATCCTCAGAGGTAGTGAGGTCTCTTGGAACTAGGGAAAAGGGTTTATATATCTGTGAAATCCACCAGCATGTGGACAATTTCAACAGAAAGGAGGAAACCATGAAAATGAACAAAATCTGGCTACCAGTATTAAAAACTCTAAAATTACAACAGCACAACAACAGAGAGGAAACAAACAAGGACATCTAATCACCTCTCAACAAAAGTTTGCTCGAGGCACTGTCAGGCCATTATATGCTAATCAAGGTGGTCGGTTGAAACATTCACACCTAGCTCCAGCAGACAAGAGTCCTTTGTCTCACCCTGGTCATTCCACAGATATATAAACCCTTTTTCCTAGTTCCAACAGACCTCACTACCTCTGAGGATGCTTGCCATAGATGCAGGCAAAACGTCAGGAGAGAATGCCTCTAGACCATGGCCATATAGCCCGAAAAAACTACAACAACCCAGAACATATGACATCCAGTAGTCACCATCTGCTCACCCACAGAAAACCATATTTAATAATAATCTAGAGGAGGGCAACTAAAAGATCAAGGGTCTGGAGAAGAAACCCTATGAGGAGCCGCTTAAAGAGCTGGGCATGTTTAGCCTGCAGAAGCGAAGACTAAGAGGAAACATGATAGATGTGTATAAATATGTGAGCGCCCACAGAAAGCTGTATTTAATAATCTAGAGCAGTGTTTCTCAACCTGGGGGTCAGGACCCCTGGAAGGGTTGGAGGGGGTGTCAGAGGGGTCGCCAAAGACCATCAGAAAACACAGTATTTTCTGTTGGTCATGGGGTTTCTGTGTGGGAAGTTTGGCCCAATTCTGTCATTGGTGGGGTTCAGAATGCTCTTTGATTGTAGGTGAACTATACATCCCAGTAACTACAACTCACAAGTGTCAATGTCTATCTTCCCTAAACACCACCACTGTTCACATTTGGGCATATTGAGTATCCATGCCACGTCTGGTTCAGATCCATCATTGTTTAAGTCTAGAGTACCCTACCTGGATGTAGGTGAACTACAACTCCCAAACTCAAGGTCCCACCAAAGTGTTTTCTGTTGGTCATGGGAGTTCTGTGTGCCAAGTTTGGTTCAATTCCATCGTTGGTGGAGTTCAGAAGGCTCTTTGATTGTAGGTGAACTATAAATCCCAGCAACTACAACTCCCCAATGACAAAATCTCCCCCCCCCCAACCCCACCAGTATTCAAACTTGGGTGTATTGAGTATTTGTGCCAAATTAGGTCCAGTAAATGAAAATACATCAGATATTTACATTACAATTTATATCAGTAGCAAAATTACAGTTATGAAGTAGCAATGAAAGTGATTTTATGGTTGGGGGGTCACCACAACAGGAGGAACTCTATTAAGGGGTCTTGGCAATAGGAAGGTTGAGGGTTACAGCCTGTGCTGGATGGGGTTACACTCCCCCTGAAGACGCAGGTTCGCAGCTTGGGAGTGATCCTGGACTCATCGCTGAGCCTGGAACCCCAGGTTTCGGCGGTGGCCGGGAGAGCTTTTGCACAATTAAAACTTGTGCACCAGTTGCGCCCGTACCTTGGGAAGTCTGATCTGGCCACGGTGGTCCATGCTCTTGTTACATCCCAAATAGAGTACTGCAACGCGCTCTACGTGGGGTTGCCCTTGAAAACTGTTCGGAAACTTCAACTAGATTGCTCACTGGAGTGACATACAGGGAACACACCACCCCCCTGCTGTGCCAGCTCCACTGGCTGCCGGTTCAGTTCCGAGCACAATTCAAGGTGCTGGTTTTGACCTACAAAACCCTTTACGGTTTCGGTCCAGTGTATCTGTCCGAACGTATCTCCCTTTACGTCCCACCTCGGAGTTTGAGATCATCTGGGGAGGCCCTGCTCTCGACCCCACCACTGTCACAAGTGAGGCTGGTGGGGACGAGAAGCAGGGCCTTCTCAGTGGTGGCCCCTCACCTGTGGAACTCACTCCCGGGGGAAATCAGAGCATCATCATCCCTCCTCTCCTTCAGGAGGAGGGTGAAGACATGGTTGTGGGACCAGGCCTTTGGGCAACCAGGCAATTAAATAAGACAATCAGACGAGCAAGATCAGCAGGATTGTCGAAGTGGAATCAAAAACAGATCTATGAGTTAGTGAACACTGACAGGGTAGGAGGAAGAATTAGGTTTGTATTGGTTTTATTGATTTTATGGATTTTATTGATTTTATTGGGATAATGCATGAATTGTGGTAACTATGAATTGTTGTAGTTTTGTGATGATTGTTTTGTGTGGCAGGCATCTAAGCGTGCCTTTGCTGTTGTAAGCTGCCCTGGGTCCCCTACGGGGTGAGAAGGGCGGGGTAAAAGAACCCCAAATAAATAAATAAATAAATAAACCACTGATCTAGAGCTAATGTGGTAGTAGTAAACCTTTGTGCGTAGTCAGCCTCTCCCTTCTCAACATCCCCGTTGCCTCGGCACTATAAGAAAGTTTTGTGAGACCAGTCGCTCTCATTGCCGCATGGTTTCAAAGCAATGGTGTAGTAATGGTGAAGCTGCGTGCCATATTTTTGTTTTTGCAAGCCACTGGTGATCCACAAACCACAGGTTGGGAACCACTAAAGTCCACCAGCCCTGTTCTGCCATGCAGAAATATTCAATCAAAGTACTTCTAATAGATGGCCATTCAACCTCTGTTTAACACTTACCAGGGAAGGAGACTCTGCCAACCTCCGAGACAGTGTATTCCACTCTCAAACAGGAATTATAAATGGATAAACCAGCTTGCGTTTATTTATACCATTTGTTGATAATCGCTCATATTGCCAAAGTTTTCCTGGCAGTCTACAATAGGTTAAGAAACATGTATAATATTTATTATCAGCAGGTGTGTGCATACGCCTATGTTCCTTCAAGCTACCTACTTACAATAATGCCATTAATTTCGTGATGTTTTTTAGATGGTGGTTTATCATTGCCTTTTTTTTAAATGTAGCCCACAACGCCTGGGATACCTTAATGGTTTCTCATTCAAATATTAACTGGGCCTTACCCTGCCGACTTTCCAAGATCAGATGGGATCTGGTATTGTCAGGGTAGATTAACAGATAAAAGCATTTAAACACAGACTTGAAACAGGTTCCTTAAAATAGTTTAGAACCGCACTGTGCTCAAACAGCAATTTACTG